AGGACCAACAGCTGGAGACGAGGAGATGGCAGATGCGTCAGGCTCGACAGCGACACCAGTACCCACTCTTGTCAACCTCACCACCCTCGGCGGACAGCAGGAGAAGGAAGTGCCTGTTGACTTCACACCACTGTCAAAGCTTGTCAAGAGCCTGTACGAGGGTGACTACAAGACGTTCTTCGGCGCTCTTGGTGAGGTCGAGACCAACTTCCTCAGCCAGGACCGCTACATGTACGAGCACCGCGGCTGGTACGTGAGGGAGATGCGTCTACGGGGATACCAGCAACTCCTCCAGTCGTACAGGGTCGTCGGCCTAGAGAGCATGGCCAAGGACTTTGGCGTCACCGTTGACTTCCTCGACAAGTGAGTGATATCTGATCCTTCTCATTCCAGCATCTTTGACTAACAACACACAGGGACCTCGCTCGTTTCATCGCCGCCGACCGCATACCCTGCACCATCGACCGCGTCAAGGGCATCATTGAGACCAACCGACCCGACGACAAGAACAAGCAGTACGCAGACGTAGTCAAGCAGGGTGACCAGCTCATTACCAAGCTGCAGAAGTACGGTCAAGCCGTCAGGCTGAGGGGTAGTGAACGCGGCTAGACTGCCACGACGAGGTGGACGTGTAATGATCTTGAGGCATTGTAGACTTAGACACACCAGCGCAAAGACCGCTGAATGGAAGCAAAAGCATACCATGACCGTCTGCGCTTTCCTGTTATGGCTCCCCGGGTGGCATTGCCATATTCGCGTCGTGGGTTTAGTTCCGATATCTCCGTGATGCAGGTGCGGCTCAACGAGCGTATTATGAAGGTGCGGTGAGATAACACAAAAGCAATGCTCCCTTCCATCGTACAACATACCCACGCGGCGTCCCGTGTTTTCAGAATCATTTCTACACCCACGTTTACATCACATCGTTCGTAACAAGCTCCAACCCAAGCTCTTGGTTGAGACCCGCGTGGGTGGGGTCATCGCCTCGAGCAGCCGCCGATAAGCATCAATCAGGGTCCATCGACATGTCGCCGTCATCGGCTCTGAAATGCGCCTGTTCACTACGCCCTCCAGCCATGGCCAGTCGACGCCTTGGTGGCAGCGTGGGCTCTAGAGGTATTTGATCCCACTGCTCTTTTGTGCATGCGACGAGTAGAGTGTAAGAGATTGGCATATCCGCAACGCGCCGAGCCACCGAGGGGCAGCATCGTAGTGGCTCTACCCTACAAGTAGTGGGGCACCACGCGACGCAGCATAAAAAATATAGACCAGCCATTGACGCACATCATCTACGTGTTTCGAGTACGTCGCGGGATTGAGTAGCGCTGGGAGATACACTTTTCGCCTGAGCTAAGTTATAGTCTGGACGTGTGCTCACCACCTTAGTCCTGTATAGACCCTTCACCTCCTCCACCCCTCAAACCCTATCTCCCTTCCTCGCCGGACGCGTAACGACCCAACTTTACAACCCCCCGTCGCACCTTCCCCATAGTCGAAGCATCATGTCCAAGGCACCGCAGAAGGTGTTGCAGATTGGCAACATCAACCCGCACGTCAAGGCAGCCAAGTATGCCGTCCGTGGTGAACTAGCCGTCAAGTCGGAAGAGTACCGCGCCAAGCTGGCAAAGGGCGAGGGCAAGGACCTTCCCTTTGACACTGTCATCGCGGCCAACATCGGAAACCCCCAGCAACTAGACCAAAAGCCAATCACATTCTTCAGGCAGGTCGCGAGTATACTCGAGAACCCCGGCCTGTTGGAGCACGAAGATGTCCTGCTCAAGAGCCTGGGATACAAGTCGGATGTGCTTGACCGCGCAAGGAAGCTGCTGAAGGAGGTCAAGAGCGTAGGCGCATACAGTCAGAGTCAGGGTGCGCCAGGCATCAGGCAGAGCGTTGCAGAGTACATTGAGCGTGCGTATCTCACTATATTAATACGGGAATTGAACTGACAGAGACAGGTCGCGATGGCTACCCAGCAAAGTTCGAGGACATTTACCTCAGCAACGGCGCCTCATCAGGCGTGAACACCCTCCTCCACACCATCTGCGCGAAGCCCGAGACTGGTATCATGGTCCCCATCCCCCAGTACCCTCTCTACACCGCGACCCTTTCCGTCCTCGACGCCCGCTGCGTGCCATACTACCTCAACGAAGACCAAGCATGGGGCACATCACTCGACTCAATTGCGACTGCATACGAGAGGGCTGTGAAAGAGGGCACCGATGTCAAGGCTATCTGCGTCATCAACCCGGGTAACCCCACTGGCGCGTCGCTGCCCGCCGAAGACATCAAGGCTGTGCTCAAGTTCGCCGCCGAGAAGGGTCTCGTCGTCATCGCCGACGAGGTCTACCAGACCAACGTCTTCATTGGCGAGTTCATCTCCTTCAAGAAGGCTCTACGCGACCTGCAAAAGGAGTCACCCGGCCAGTACGACCACCTCGAGCTGGCTTCTCTGCACTCAATTTCCAAGGGCATGGTCGGCGAGTGTGGTCACCGAGGTGGCTACTTTGAGCTTATCGGCTTTGACCCGGAGGTCGCGCAGGAGGTCTACAAGTTCATCTCTATCCAACTGTGCCCGCCAGTCCTGGGCCAGTGTATCGTGGAGATGATGGTCAACCCACCAAAGGAGGGCGAGCCAAGCTACGAGCTCTACAAGGAGGAGTACGACGGCATCTTCCACGGATTGAAGAAGCGCGCGTATGCTTTGTATGAGGCGTTCAAGCAGATGGAGGGTGTCGAGTGCAACGAGCCACAGGTACATATTCCACGCCAACTACACATCATATAGCTAACATTGACATCAGGGCTCCATGTACCTCTTCCCCACCATCCACCTCCCAGAAAAGGCCGTCCAACAAGCCAAGAAGGAAGGTCGCGCGCCCGACGAGTTCTACTGCTTCCGCATGCTCGACGCCACAGGTGTCTGTGTTGTTGCTGGTACAGGCTTCGGACAGAAGGAAGGCACACTGCATTTCAGGACGACCTTCCTTGCTCCTGGGACCGACTGGACAGGGCGTATTGTCAAGTTCCACGAGGAGTTTATGAAGGAGTTCAAGTAGATGTTATAGCCGATAACAGTTTAGATGCGCAAAGAAGACTGTAGTATGAGACACGGTATGAACTAAATAGATCTCACGAACAACACTAAGACTTCCATCAATGTTCAGTCTCTTACCATGCCTTGACCTGTGTAATTGCCGAAGTACGTAGTAATGGTGGGGGCGGGGTAAAGAGGACTGATATATCCGAAGACGATCGCGACATCGCAACTGCCGTGCGCATTGTACCTGAATGGACCCTGGTCTTGGCTTATGCCGAATGACATGGGATATATACATAGCTCCACGCCAGTGCTCATCGTCATGTATATCGCGTGCGCTCTTAATCTGCATGTTTTTGGTTCTACCTGTCTACGTCCCTAGCTATTATCCTGAAACTCATGCTCATATTCCACATCGCCAACTTCATTTCGCATACCTGATATCATCATCGTCATTCTCGAAGTCGTCATCACCACCAAATGAGCACCAACACCACAATGCACACCCAAGATCAATCTCCCTCTAACACGCAGCTCTCACTCCTCGAATCCCTCCCCGACGAACTCCTCGACCTAATCCTCTCCCACCTCCCCTCCAGAACCACCCTTCACACCCTCACCCTCGTCTCCCGCCACCTAAATCGCCTCGCAACAGCCCACCTCTACACGCACATCACGCTCTACGGCGCCGACTTTAAGTATTTGCGTCCGCTCGCTCTCCTCTTCTGGACGTCTCCGGCACATCGCCAGCTGGTCCGTTCTTTTTCTGTGGTTCATGCGTATGGCGGGAATTTGGATCCGTGGCCGAAGTGTGAGGGGCTGGATTTGGATGGGATTATCAGGGGGAATGTGGAGAGTTTTGTTAGGAGGAGTGATTGGGGGGTTTGGGTTGAGGAGGTGAGTGTTGGTTTTGTATGGACTCTGTGTGTGATGGTTGCTGACTGAGTATATTTATGTTTTAGGTTAGGGATGGGAGTGATTCGACAAGGATTGCGAGTTTGCTGTTGAGAAGCTGTCCGAATCTGAAGAGAATGCAGTTGCCAGGTTTTGAGCTTGTGGATCCGTGCTGGAGGTGAGTTGGCACCTGCATAGCTGATACCATGCGTCGCAAATGCATCGCTGTGGCGTTCAAGGCTGGGTAGTGTACTGTATACGTCAGCTGAACACGAGCGTCTCCCAAGAGAACAGAACGCCATACCGAATTGAGGCGTTCGAAGAGTCTGGGACTGCAGAGACAGTCAGTATTTCTCGCGGACTATGCGCCGAGGCACCCCAGGACGCAGCTCTATCTTCTAAGGTGCATGATCGACGCCTCCAGCCTTCAGATATGCAAGACCCGTAGGAAACACTCTTCGAAGCGGTTGGGCCAAATCATGGGTGTGGCTGGAGATCACCGATGAGTTACCACTGGATCACACGCGGCATGAGCCCGCCTTCTCTGGCTACGCATCCGTAACGGTCGAAGTTGACAACAACAGATTTTTGTCAACAAGAAGGTGCCGCTAAGTTGCGCGTTCCTGCAGCAAAATATGTCAGGGTCGCCGCCTCGCATACGAGCTCATTCGCCCTCGCCGTTTGGGCGAGATGTAAAGAGGGTTCTCCTACCGCGGTACCGCATCCTCACCATGCGCGAACACGACAACACATTCGTAATGCAACATACTATCACAGATGCTTCGTTTATCTAGTGGGTAATATGGATATGTTGAGCCTGTTGACGGACAAGAGAGGTATATAACATGGTCAGCGCCACGGTGTGAGCTGAGCTGTGTGAATATCTGGAAGCTACGTGGACTCGCTACCACGATCGCAAAGTGGAAGAGTTATTTTTCTTTGTTGAGAGAAATTTTTACTAAACAGGGTCTCCTTTAACATATCGCTATTCTCACTCATCAGTCCTTTCCAGGAGCACCGGAGGAACGTTCACTCTTCTTCGAAGATGTCTTCATCCGACTCTACAATGGGTACGACACCACCTGCAACGGAGCGCAAAGTCGACTTCGTCATTGAGGAACAGGACTTGGGAAGTATGCCACTTACTCAGCCCCAAGTCTTCAACAATACCCTCTCTCGCCGCCTCAGTCGCCCTACGCTTCCTCCTTCGCTCCCCTCCCAGACACCCTCCGCCAAATGGAAGCGATCGGAGGGCTTTTGGCGATCATTCGTTGCCATATGCATCCCATTACTTCTCTCCGCTCTCGAGGGAAGTGTAACTAACACCGCCCTCCCTACCATCTCCGAGGCCTTGGATCTCGGCACCAAATTCTCCTGGGTTGCGACCGCGTTCCTTCTCGCGAGCACCATCTTCCAGCCCCTGTACTCTCAGTTTGGAGATATGTGGGGAAGGAAAACGCCTATGATGACTGCTGTTGCCGTCTTCGCAGTGGGCTCAGCAATTTGCGGTGGCGCTCAGAGCGGCGCAGTGCTTATTGCTGGACGCATTGTCCAAGGTCTAGGAACCGGTGGCATTGATCTGTTTGCCGAGATGATTCTCTGCGATATCGTGCCATTGAGAAAGAGAGGTCCGTACTTGGCGATCAAGCACGTTGCTTTCGCCGCTGGCACCACACTCGGTCCACTTCTCGGAGGAGTCTTCGCTGAACACGGGTGGCGATGGTGTTTCCTCATCAACATACCCGTCTGTGCCATCTCCCTGGTCGTTATCTGGCGCTGGCTAAATGTCGGTGGAAGTAACACTACCCCAGAAACAACCCTTCGACAAGAGTTGAAGAAAGTGGATTACGTAGGAAGCGGCATGCTCACGGGTTCCGTTCTGATGCTTCTCGTCTCCCTCAGCACAGGCGGCGCACCAAAGCCCTGGTCTCACTTCTCCGTTGTCATACCCATGGTCTTCGGTATCCTTGGTCTCATCGGCTTCGGTTTCTGGGAACGCTGCTCCTACTGCAAATACCCCATCATGCCACCGCACATCTTCTCGAACCGCACGACAAACATCGCTTTCGCATTGACAACCATGCACGGCTTCATAACTTACGGTTTCCAATTCTATCTCCCGCCTTTCTTTCAAGCAGTCAAGGGCTCCTCGCCCACACAATCAGGTCTAGAAGTCATGCCCACGACCCTCGTTATCGTTGTCCTCGCCGCAGTTGGCGGCCCCTTACTCAGCTACTGGGGCAAATACAAACCCATGCATATCATCGGCTTCGCTTTGACGACCCTCGGCCTAGGTCTCTGCACACTGCTCAACGCTAAGTCCTCAATTGGCGTCTGGCTCTCCCTCCAGCTCATCACCGCAGCCGGTCTCGGGATAGTCATCAGCACCATGCTCCCCGCGGTACAAGTCAAACTCCCCGAATCCACAACCGGCGCAAGCGCAGGATCCTGGGCCTTCCTCCGCGGCACGGGCTCTCTCTTTGGTGTCGCCATCCCCGGTGCCATCTTCAACGTTCGCTTCGCATCTCTCCTTCCTACCATCTCTTCCGCAACTGCTCGCGCTAAGCTGGAAAATGGTCAGGCGTATCAACGCGCTACTGCATCTTTCATCACCACACAAGCCACGTCACCCACCATCAAAGCCGAGATAATCAATGCGTTTACCCAGAGTCTGAAGTGCGTGTGGATCGTTTTCGCGGTTCTAGCGGGAATCGGGTTTTGTCTCACGTGGGGTGAGAAGGAGTACAAGATGCGGAAGGAACTTAATACGGTGTATGGGCTCAAGGCGAAGAAGACGGGGGGAAGTGCGTGTACGACGCCAGGGTTCGTGGATTCGGGGGTTGCCACACCGGTCAATGTGGATAGCAGTGATGATGAGGTGAATAAGCCGAACGGGGAGGATGACGGGTGTGCGGTTGAGATGGATGAGGATGATGTTGAGTTGGGGGATATTAGGAGGAGAAGTGGTGAGGTGTGATGGGCATGCGGGCAGGGCAGGGCAGATATCCTGCTTGTGATAATAGTGGAATTGAGAAAATCTTTTCATTCAGACTTTGGGCTGTACAATTTGACTGGTACAAGTAGGCGCCAAACACTCTGTTCAAGACTTCAATTAATTGATGCTAGATGCAGCGTACCTAGTATATATCCACTCCAAAAATCATAACCACCCACCTCCTTCCAAGCATCAACCTCCTACCTTCCTATCCGTAACCTCACTCCCTCCATCACCGCCACACCGCCCCTCCCCTCACGCTTTCCATCCTCCGTTTCGCCTCTCCAAACCTCCTCTTCGCCTCCTCAAACACTCTCTGCGCCTCAATCACCTCCATCCTCCTTACATTAAACTCATGCGTCGCTCTCTGCGCTGCCTGGACCCGAGGATCTATCCTCGGCGCTGGATATGTATCGCGCATGTATGACTCGAAGAGAGTGCCGTTGGGATTATCGTTGCTGGTGAGTTTGTCGTTGCCGTTGCCGTTGTCATAGCCATTAAGGAGATCTGATTGTGGGGGCTCGTAAGTGTTCTGTCGCACCGGACACGGCGTATCCGGATCTCCTCCAAATTCTCGAGCTAGGCTATTAAACAGGGGCGTGAAAGACGAGAACGGTGGGACGATGCCAGGGGATGTAGCTGTAGGCGTGGGTATCTCTGCAATGACAATCGGAGGGGGTCGGGAGCGTCGCTGCGTCTGGGGGGTGGTAGTTGTAGAAGGAAGTGTTGCTGTTATTGTTGCTTGTGAATCCGGGGGCGTGGGTATATCGTCGAAGTTTATGTGGATTGGTGTGCTAGGCTCGTTGTTGCTGGTGGTGGTGTCGTCTTCGGAGATGACGCAAAGTTCCTCTTTCAACCGTTTCGCTAGCCTTTGTGCGTCTTCGTCTTCTTCTTCCTCAGTAACGGCATTCATCTCCTGTCTGATCGAGTACTTCCTCTTTCTCGTTTCATCTTCTTTGATCGGGACGGGGCCTTGCATTTCGCGTCCTCGGCTCATTCTTCGTAAACTCTCGCATGCCTTCTTCACATCGCTGATTTCCAAGATGGCGAAGATCTTTTGCGTTTTCCCGCTGTATGAGCCTTCGCGGATGCGTGCTTGGAAGTAGGTGTTTAGGAGGTTGTGCGCTCGGTCTCGTTGGCCGATTGTTAGTGTGGAGAGTTCGTGGATGGCTTGGATGATTGGGGCTGGGAGGCAGTTGATTGGGACGCCGGCCAGGAGTGAGGGTGGAAGGATGGGTTCTTCTGAGGTCGCGGGGTGGATGAACCAGTTTTGTTGGATGGCTTGGATGTGGTTTATGATGTCTATCTGGCATCCTGCATTGCTGGGATTTGATGTGTTTGACATGTTTGCCATTCCCATATCGTTTATCTTGTGTTGGGCTCTTGGTAGATGGAAGATGCTGGGATGCAGGCGCAGTTTCCAAGACTGTGACACAATGTCACGATCATAAGATGTGCCTCGATGCTGGTTCATAGCTAGAAGTTCTACAACAAAGAGTCGGTGGCTACAAAGGTCATGGGGTGAGTCCCGGCTTTGTCCGTGATAAAGCTCGAAAACTCGTATCTGGTCGCGCTTTGTCCAGCGGCTCCAGAACAGTGTCGGAGACCGCACTAGACGTAGCGGAGGCTGTGCGAGAGGCAAAAATCCTAGTATAGAAGCTATGAGGCGTGTTTCAGATTGAGGTCGAAACACCATTGGTGAACGGAGTCGTATCTTGGAGCGCTGGTGCGGTCGGCATAGACGGGGGAAGAACGTACATGCGATTAAAAGCCTAGAGTAGAACAGATGACGACCCGGTAGAAAGAATACGCAGTAGTCGAAGAGACCCAGACACGTCAAGATAAATTCATTGTCGACCCATCACCTATACTTAATGATGACTTCCAAACGTCAAAATCTCCAACGTAGCCTCCCGCCTACCGATTACCCCTCAGTATATCCCCAATCTGACTGAACGGATTCCTCAAGCCCCGCACACCTCCTCCCTTCGCAGCCCTCGTACTCACCGTCTTCGGCGGATCGTGTTTATAGCCACAAGAGGGATTCGTGCACCCATTTGGCGAGGTGATTTGCCACCTACAGAGAGTCTCTGACTGAAGAGGCTTTGCCTGTTTTTCGTTCCTGCGCGCTCCAGATGCATTGATGATATCCTCTAGCGATTGTTCGATGCGAATGGTAGGAGGCTGATGTTGATGTTGAGGTTGATGTGGCATGGGTTGATCGTTCTTTGTTATCCTGTCGGCGAGTGAACGGTTTCCTCGAGGGCCAGTTGGTGGGGTATGGTAACCAAATGACGTTTGGTTATCAAAAGAGGTGGGTTGTTCACCCCTTGTTACTCGTTCAGCAAGTGTCGGTTTGCGCACTGCTGGCGCTGGTGATGGAGCTTGGGCGAATGGATTCTTGCTGTTGCTCGTGTGAAAGCCAAAAGTCTGGTCTTCCTGCTTAGGTTGCAAGGTAGATCGCCCATCCCCCTTCATCTGCCCACCGAAAGGATTTGAACCACCCGGCAGGTGACTAGAGAGAGGGTTCGTTTGGGAGAAATTACTTGATCTCGGTGCAGGGACAGGATCGATGACCATTTGGTCAGCCCGTGGGAACTGTTTTGACTGGCCTTTTAATGCGGCTTCTGTGAGGAAGAAAGGATCGTGGCTGTGTTTACATCTCCCACCGAATCTGCAACTACCGCTCAACCAGAACTTGCATGCGGTGTGGGGTAGCTTGCAACTCCTGCCTAATGTGCAGGTTCCGTTCTTGTATGCTGGGCAAGCCGCCTTAAAGTTGCCGTCGTCGGCTGATATTCCGAAGGGACCTGAGGGAGCGCCATTGGTGATTCGAGCATTGAAGGGGTTTGACTGGCCCACACCGCGTGTAATTATCGTGGAAGGATCGAACGGACCAAAGCTAGGGTGTTGCTGCGAGCTATCAACCCGTCGAGCGTCCGTCATTTGGACGTCGTCGTCTTTCGGCGTAGGATGATGTGAAACTTGGCCGAATGAACCGAGCTGCCCATACGAGCCACCATTAATAGAGCTTCCGAAGGAAGTGCCTAGAGAGCTCTTTGGCTGGTAGAAGCTACTGTTGGCAGTCTGATTGCTACTGAAAGAAGAGTTCATTGAAGTGCCAGTCTGTCCTGCAGTAACTGGAAGTGACGATGTCGTAGTGGCATCGGGCTTAATTTGGGCTGCCTGCTTAGCAGACAGGTTGCTTAGGTCGTTTTTGAGCTTGTTGATCTCAGTTGTTTGTTGCGCAATCTGATCCTGGTACGATTTATCGCGTTGAGCCGTTGCTGCAGCTTCTGCGACCTTCTTCACACTCTCTTGAGCGCGTTCTTTTGCGGCGGTCATCTCGAGTGACTTGATTCGTTGCTTCAGTTGATCTCGCTCTGCTTGAACTCGCTGGACTTCGTCAAGTCGTTCCTTCTCTTGTTGGCGGGCCTGTTCCTCTTTCTGCAGACGCAGGGCTTCAGCCTTTTGCGCTCGGTATTCTGCCATTTGCTGTGCGTCGGGGCCGATGCTGGTCCTCGCAATCTTGTCTTCGGTTGCTTTCTGCAACGTCTCCATCGTCTCGTCGATCGACCCGGGTGGGAAGCTAAAACTCGCAGGTGGGGGGCTGAGCCAACCTTCCATTTCTTCAATGTTGGTGACCAGATCGCCGAGGTGGTGGTGCGGTCGTGAGTACTTTATCAGGTCGCGGAGGGCCCCAAGCCGATACATTGGCAGCGGTGTGTAAGGCATGACGTTACGCCATTGCTCTCCCTTGGCGAGAATATAGTGTAGGCCGTTGAGACACTCGCGTACTTCGACGATGGATTGTTCATTGACCTTGAAGCCATTTCCCATGACTCTGTCGATGACCATCATGTCATTTCGCACAGTCTCGTAGTGCTTCGCAAAGTCCTTCACAAGCGCGCCCTTCTTTTGATTCTTATGAGGGATGAGAGTTGTCAGACGAGGGATGACATGACGAGCCGCTGCATTCTGCTTGATGGTTCCTTTCAACGCGGCGTGGCTGAACAACTCGACAAGATCCTCTCGCCAGTCGTTCGCAACGTCGGCAGTATACTGCGAATAGCCGGCGATGTGTAAGCGCGCCTTGTACGCGCTGAAGCACATCTCAGCCATATACTTGGCGTTGTACTCCTTTTCGTTGGGGCGACTCCTCTTCGAACGCGCTGCGATGGGAGTCGCATTGGGTTCAGCCTAGACGTCTGCGTTAGTTCAGAAGGAAGAGATCTGAAGATAAGTGGCTCACCGATTCTGACTGGTTGTTCGCAGTAGCTCGCTTCCTCTTTCCACCAGCCAGAGGAACTGCGTATGTTTGGTAGCCTGGGCTGTTGGCGGCCGAGGAGTGAGCCATTGCGTTTGGGGGTTAGCAATATCTCGACAAATTTACTGGCGTTGTGTTGTGGCTGGGAGGCGTGTTGTCAAAACGAAAGCAGGACTTGGAAAGCGAAAATATCAAGTAGATGTCGGATCAAATTCGTGTAGGTAAGCAGGGGTTGAGTACGTGCTATTGTACACGCCACTAAGCCCGAATCAGGAATCGAGTGAGTATTACGAATAGATTGTGGTAGTGAAGGGGAAGAACGATAGCTACACGTGGTGGTAGGGTCCGTGCAAAGTGAATGCGTGTTGGACAAAGACGTGGCTGAAAGACCAGCACAAGGGCGACCGAGACTGACTGGTGAATGAGAGGCGTCACGGTGGTTCATATTTTCCTGCTCTGCGTATACAGTAGCTCTTCAGCCGGAGTCATCATAGGTGAAGAATGAGAATCTAGTGACGATGGGGCTAAAGTCCAGTCTACAGTGCTGAGACATAGGGACAGAAGCTGCGAAGATGACCTGAGTTATAAAATGTGCTCGATATAATGGGAGTAGAGGAATTGACTTTGGAATGGGGGACGCTGGAGGGAAACAAGATAGGACGACTGTCTTGATAGCAAACCGCAAAGGACACAGCTTGCTCAGGTTTCCTCATAGGCAACAGGCCAGATCTATGAGCACTGTATCGCATGCCCAGGTGGTGGCTGTGACGATGTTGTCGCGACTACTTCCCTGGGTGGATGCCGAGGATCGTTCCTTCCTGGGGATATTTCATGCCGAATGTTTGCTTCACCAAGGCAAGACATACTTGAAGCCAAGGTGCACAGAAGTAGCGACGAGAAAATAGACATTGTGAAATAGATCATTCGTGATAAAAACGAAAAGAAATACGAATAAGGTTCAGGTATCTGCTGGCTCGGCGTTGGCCGCCCTAGCGCAAATGTTGGGCAGGCACGGGATGCGGAGAGCAGATCGCGACGGGGAAGAGCGACCGAGGCAGGGTCGTCCCTCACCCGTCGATGTTTGGCCTCTCCAACATTGGAAGGCATCGCGACCATGCGCAATCCCGTGGCGTGTGTGTCCTGCAGGTCCGCCAAACAGAAGTGCATCCACGAAGACCGGCCGCCGTGCGACAGGTGCAAGCAGTGCGGGCGCGCCGATCGGTGCGAGTTCCCAGGTGCGTCGAAGCTCCTGCCGTCCCCTATAGTGCGCGTGTTGACAGACGATAGCGCCAGGAACCAGCGCGATACACCGCAAGCCCAAGCGACCACGGCCCTCTGAAGATGCAGGAGACGCTGGAGACACGCCGACACCAGCCAACTCGAGTACGACGGTTGTAGCGCCCCGTCAGGGCCGCCATGACGCACATCTGCCGACCGGCACCCAGGCGGCACAGCACGCGTCGCCGAATGCGGCATCCGCGCTGCTCGACGGCCTCGATCCCTTTGAGCTGCTGACGGACGAGGTCAAGAACAGCTACCTCAGATGCAGCTACAAGTGGAGCTTCCACCACACCCCGACGCTGCTGCGCCGGATCCGCGACCGCACCCTCGAGCCATGGATGGCCTGGGCGATCCTGGCACTGGCCATCAGGTATGCGCGCACCCACAGTGCAGGCAGTCGCACATCTAACATGACGTAGATTCGTCAAGGAGCCGCCGTCGCCCTTCCGGTCGCAGACTGAGGCCAGCAATGCCTATGCCGCCCACGCCCGCCAGATCCTGCAGCAGGACCTCGAGACGCCCTCGATAAGCCGCGTCCAAGCCCTGTTGATGTTGACGGGCCATGACTGGGGCGCCGGCAATGGCAGGCGGGCGTGGATATACCTGGGCATGGCGATTCGGCTCGTCGAAGTCATGGACCTGACGCGCGAGACCGGCATACCGCGAAACCGCGTGCCGACGCGTGAGGAGTTCATCGAGGCTGAAGTGCGCCGACGGACTGCCTGGACCTGCTTCCTCATGGACTCGCTGCTCAGTGGCGGCAAGGGGCGCAAGCGATCGTTAACACACGCCGATATGAAGATTCAGTTGCCCTGCGAGCGCGAGGACTTTGTCTTCGGGGAGCCTGTATGCACACCGCAGCTAGACAACACACAGCGCATGCCGCCAGTAGCCCTGCCAGTAGGAGAGATTGGCATCATCGGATA